GTCTGGCATCAATTTGCGGACTACGCTGGACCTTTTATACACATTCACGAGAGTGAAGTGAGCATATTGGCTTTTGAGCAAAGTCCGTTTTCCATGCCGTGTGCTCATATAAAGTAAGAGACTAGAAGCTAGCATTTGGAGCATTTATATATATATATATCATACAAGATTTCATATTTGGGTATCTCAGTCAGTAGTATTACCTAGCAGCCTTTGAGCCATGACTGAGTATGTTGCAGTCGGTTCAATCCAACTGCAACGTTTTCACTTGATTTCGCTTATTTCTGATGTGCTTTTATTTTTGCATTTTGCCACTTTCTGTAGCACTTATTATAATGTTTGCCTTGTGGCACAACAAATTGCGCGTTAATGTGTTTTTGTTGCTTCGTCATTTGATTAGAGCGTCAAATTGAATGTTGATATTGAATTTAAAGCTGAGCCGGCGGCGCTACTAACGGCACCTTGCCCGCACCTAGATAGGCCTTAAAAATATATACGTATGTATATATTGTCTTTACCTTTTATTGATTTTTAAATGTGATTTTCGTTATTCGTTCTCTGCTGCGCTCACATTTCTATTAGCAGCAGCGCCCAGATTTGATTACAGAACTTGATTAAATTTCACTTTGAACGAGCGAACGACTTTTTTTTTCTCCTTAAAGCAAATTTTTCGTTGTGCAGAGTTGCGGGTCTCGAAATCAAAGCGGCCCCGTATGAAATACCTGGCAATACAATGAAGCGGCTTTTGTTGTCCGCACAAAAGCAGGCACAGCACAAAGACCTTACATCCACGACATGGTCAAACAACAAGCTCACGAAACGAGTTGTGCTCAAAGGCGACCGTTGCGATGGCTCGAAATCCAATTGAGTAACAGCCAACAACATGCTTGATGGTCTTGATGACGACAGGGCGTCGGCATACGATCAGGTCCATCAGGTACAGTCCATCTTGTTACAGTTGTTGTTGTTGTTGCTGCTGCTGCTGCTGCTGGCCCATTAAGCAGACGCACGACCGAACTGAGAAGGTTATAAAACAAAGGAGCGCATCCTCCTTAAAATCATCTAGCGGTATTTTGGTATTTTTGCGTAAAGTGCTGCGACGCGTTGATTGCCCAAAGCAATTCACATTGATTGCGGCCCATTAAAACGCTGAGAGCTTTTTACAGTCAAGAAACCAAAGACAGTTAAGACTCGCCGCGCACATAATTACAGCCGCAGCGTAGATAAAAGTCAAACACTGAAATTATTTAATGGCGTCTGCATGGAAAGTGCACTCAAATCTACAATTGAGGTCAGCCTCATGGGCTTTGGAAAATTAAAATAGCAATATAAATATTATAGAGATATCTATATAAGATTGGAAAATTAAAATTATAATATATATATTATACAGATATCTATATAAGATATAGCTGCTGAATATTATATTAAACACGAAACACAATAAACACCGAATATTATTATCAAGCCGATAGAGACCAAAGATAGATCCTTTATCCAATTCATCTAATTAAAGCTGTTGTGGCTAATGAATATTTATTTTGAATAATTCAAGAAAAATAGTCATAAATCGAGTAAAAAAAAAAATAATAATAATAATAATTAAAATAAATTTAAAAAAATAATACAATTAGGTTTATATTAACAATAGGTTTTTTATATATTTATATATATTATATTATTATACTTACTTTTAAAGTATATATTTCTTCTACAATCTTCATATTTTATTTGCTTTACATATGTATGTGTGCCTGCTATTGAGAGTTTTGAGACAAGCAGCTCCACATTTATTGAACTCAAAATTTGACTTTTCTGACTAATTTTAATACAAATATTATATACGTAACACCTTAAAAGTTTTTCCAATCATTGCAAAGGTCATATTTAAACACATTTACACCGGAATTGTTTTACATTTCAAGCTGTTCTTAAGATTTATTTTACATTTTTATTGACTGCTCGCTGCAGCTAAGTGATGGCATTTTTATTACGAAGCGTTTAGGTTAGTGGGAAAACGTTGGTTGGCTTAGGTTGTTGGATCTAATGTAGTATTCCTATTTACGTCGAGTGCTCACACTTAACACTGCTGCCAGTAGCCCAAAGAGGCTTGTGGCTTGTAATTTGACTACTTCTAAATATTGATGATAATCGTGTTTCAACTGTAGAAGGAGGAGCACATTATATTAACACTCTCATATGGTTCAACCACTTTTTAAGTATGGAAACTGTTTGCAAAAATTCATAATAAATATATATAAATAATTTACTTATATATTAAATGCTTAAATCATTTTTATTAAAAAGTGGCTTAAAATGTAAGAATATTTTTTTATTTTTATTTTATACATATTAAATATATATATATATATAATTGAGCAATAATCTAAGCTAATGTAAATTAAATATATAGAATTTGATACATTTTTAACATATATATTTTAATAAATATATATATTTAAAAATTTATATTAAATTAAATTATATATTAAATTCAACCCAAAACAACGTTAAACCATTCCCAGTTGCTGCAAGACAATAAAACGCCAGCCAGTAATTTTTCAGCTCTCGCTCTGCCATTTCATTCTCTTTCTTTGCTAAAAATTCACGCCTTTGTCGTGTAAAATATATGAAAAGACGAAATGCTTTATCCATCAGAGAAATTGATTCGCTTTAGCTAAACTGTTGCATTTAGTGTAATGTAATGTCATCAAGCATCAAGCAGCTGGTGTCATTGCACCTACTCTGAATGTTTGTTGACATTTTCAGCTACTTTTTTGGGAAGTTGGCCAAGTTGGCTAAGCTGAGCTGTGAGCTGCGAGCGAGGCCAAACATCAAAGTCGCCTTGGGTTCAATTGCTGCTGCTGAACTTTGGCATTGTTTGGCCCCGGGAGGAATGTGTCAAAAGTGAGCATTCAAGACGATTCGCAGCATGCGTGAGCTGGTTGCCCTTAGCATACGCCATAGTTTGAGCAGCAACAGACGCAGCTGCAAATGACGCTTCTTCTGCCGCGTTCATTGGCCGAGTGGAATGAACTGAGCGTCAGCGAATTTCCGTCTGGCTCTAGCGCCAGGTCAGAGTTGATTGTATGCAGCGCGTGTATGTGTGCGGCTACACGAACTGGCTGTGCCATAACAACTGATTGGTCACCACCGAGCGCCAGTGCCGAGCGCCGAGTGCTGAGTGCTGAGTGCCTCCACTTGCCCACGCGGGTCTCATTTATTCCGGCTTGCCACGCTTTTATCTACGCTCGTCCATTAACCTTGGCCTGCATACGCCAGCCGGGGCGGAGCCCACTCCCGAAGCTCTGAGCTGCTTTTGTGTGTTCATAATTTTACTAACTAGCTGCCAAACAAAGCATCAGGCTTGCATTCAAATGAACGCTTGTCCATTTCGACTCCTAAAGCACTATGCCCGCTTTAATTACTTAGGCAGACAGACCCGACAGACGGAAGGACAGACGTGCTAAGACTGAGGGCAGTCAAGTGTTTGAGCAAAGTCTGCTTGAATGTTTTGCTGAATGTTTGCCAGGCACTCGTGAGTTATGGTCAAAGCTGAAGCAATTTGCATGCTAAACTTGAGATACAAGATACTTGCAAGCTGCAACTCTGAGATACTGGCATAGTAATATATATACACATATATAATGTCTTGCAGCTGGCTGCATTGCAATTTTAGTGTTCAACATTCTGCATTGAAGCCCCGTCTTGTTGTCAGCTGTAGTGGAATTGCCAGTTGAACGTTGCTCATACGCCATGTTGCACACGCAATGTTTTCCTTTAGCACTGGCGAAACAGATGTGCCAATAAATAAAGAAGTGCTGGAAGATCAAGTGAAAGTATCTCAAATGGATTGGTTGATTGAAGCGCAATTTAACAAAGCATTGAGTTATATACTTTTATATTTTTTATTAATATTTATCATATTGGAGGTAAAATACACCAAACTTTCATATAAATAAAAATAAATATTAAAAAAAAAATAAAAAATAATAAAATATACAATATAAGCAAAATAAGATAAGTAAATAAATTAATAAATTAAATTAATTTAAAAAATACAACTGAATACGGATAGTTCCTTAACTAAAAATTATAAATATATTGAGACAAATATTTTATGGTTTCTACAAATTTGATTAATCTTTACTATTAATTTTTTTATTGAGAATATAGAAGTAATATTGGCTTTATATCAGCAGCTTTAACACTTTAAGCTGACGAAAATATTATTTGGGATATGTGTTTTGATGTCAAATTATTATTTTTATTTTATTTTTTTTTTTTTTAATTCAAGTATCAATCTCTTTAAGTCTTTGCTGAATGTCTTTAGTACTTACAGCCAACCTCAAGCTTTTAGCCCTTGGCAAAGCTGATTTTCGACTTGTTAAAACCTTAAGTGTTGGCCACAACTTTAGCTAGTTTTTAATTCTGTGAAAAGCAGCTTTCAGTTATCGGCTCAACTACAATTGAAACTTTTCAGGATTAATCCGCCTAGACAAGAGCAGCTAAAAGCAAGTGCAATTGGCAGTTCATTTACAATGCAATTGCAGCTTTTATTGGCGCTGCTCGTGGCTGCTGTCAAGAGACAGACAGAGAGAGAGAGAGAGAATGATAGAGAGAAAAGTCTATACACTGACAAGTTAATATGTACTTGCCGGGCACACGTTGCTCTGCACTGCTTAATGGAAAATGCCATGAGCGACTGTTGTGGCAAGTGGAAAGTGGCGAGGCACGCGGAATGGCTGCCATGGGCAACGCAAGCTGCGGGCGATGTGACTTTGCGCTCCGTATAATGTGATCAGTAAGCGCATCAAATTGCCAAGTGCAGCATCATCATCAGCTCAATTGTCATTTTTATCGCCAAACGCAATTCTTTTCTTTTCACAATATACTAATTTGTTTAGCACTGAAATGCGCTTTGCATTGTCTAATAGGCTTAACGAATTCAATCATATTTTAATACAATTTTTCCCTTTCATTTTTCATTGTCTTTGCAGAGTGCGCGTGGAGTACTATGTGAATGAAAACACATTCAAAGAAAGACTGCAACTCTATTTCATTAAGAATCAGCGTTCAAGTAAGTATTTGCAATGGAAATGAAAAAGGTGCTAGGGTTAGGTGGGAGAGCTAGAAAGGGATATGGTGTCCTCTTTATAGCAAACAAATTTGATTTACTACGTGATTTGCTTAGCAAGTTAGTGGTGCACAGTAAAACCAGACTAAGATGAACTTTCTACTAAATGTAGACAAATTTTACTATTCCTTATGAAGAAATTTCATATTATTTTCAATATGTTTAGAACTCATATTTTTATATATTCCATAATATTATATATAAAAAATGATTTATATATAAACACAATTCAAAATTAAATATTTCTCTTGTTTTTGTTTTTTTTTTTTTCACTCAAGTGATTTAATAATAATTCCAGGCTCACATATTCCCAAATATCTCAAGTATACTTGACTTTCACGCAAGTCTGCTCAAACGAGTGCCCACTGTACTCAACTCTGGCCAGACAGTCTGACCGACTGGCCGACATAGAATTCACGAATGTAAATAAACTTATGGCAAAGCGATTAAAGTTTTCGTAGGCCGCACAAACAATTAAATCAATTGGAAAAACAACCACAAGAAGCAGAAGAAGAAGAAGCAGAAGCAAAAGCAACAAACACAACAACATAAAAAAAAAGGCGAATTGCCTATGTAGTGGCAGACGCAATATACTTGAGTAAATATTGATTTGGTTAGGAAATAATTGTGCAGGTAAACAGGTCGGCCAGGTAAACAGGTAGATTGGTAAACAGTCAAAAAGCTGGCAGTTGGGTTTATTTTTGTTTTCTCTTTGCTATTGCTGTTGTTGTTGTTGTAGTTGTTGGCTGACCAAGCCACGTCGCAGCTGAACTAAACGCACCTACCTATGCTATTTGGCTATTTGACCCAAATTTTGTTTCATTTTTTGTGCGTGTGTGCGTGTGTTTCTATTTCTGTGCTACTTTCTCTTTCAAGGCTTACGCATACGAATTGCCGATTTATTCCTTAAGTTACTGTCGTGTGTTCTCTACATAATACGTGTGATATTGGATAAAAATCCAACATTTATAACATGGTAAGCCAGTGGCCAACGGCCAAATAACAAATCAGATTTATTGCCAAGCATTTCTCATAACCTCTTTTTGCTTCAGCTATGGCTGCGAAGTGGCCAATAAGACAGAGTTTATCATCTCTGCCAAGCTGACGGAGGAGGAGTTCCAGGAGAATCCAATTATTAACTGGGATGCAATACTCTGGGTGAATCGACCCACTGTCCTCTGGGTGCTACAATTACTTCTAGCCATGGTGTCGTTAACTCAATCTTTGGTTCTAACATATCTAGGCTATAAGGTGAGTTGAATGTCAAAATGGAACATATTAAAAAAAAAAAAAAATACAATAATAAAGGTCAATATTTTAATAGGTATTGAGTTGTTATATTTCTTTCGATAATAGTCAAAATGTAAAAAAAAAAAAAAATTTGTATATTTATTTAGTACAAATAATTTATATACTTTCTGAAAAAACTTAATATTTATAATTTCTGATAAAATGTTTTTATATTTATTGTATACTTATTTTTATAAATTATTATTATTTTTTTTTTAGAATTTTTGTGTATCTTTATTTAGTTATACATTCTTAGGTTTATTTAAAAATATATATATTTTTAACATTTTTATATTTTATTTTTTTTTTTAAATTGTATTTTTATTTTAAAATTTAGTTTTTAATTTGAAAAAAAAAATTTTTTTTCGAACTTAAAAAAACATTTTTACTGCTGGAAATAAATAAATTGGTTATTTTAATTATTTTTATATTTCATAATATATATGTACATATAAGTTCAAGTATCTAAAATTTATATATATATTTTAGCATTTATATGTTTAAACTTTGCTTACATTATTTATTAATCACCAATTATTATTTAACATTTCATTCATTAACTTTTCTTAATCTTATCTAATATTGTGTTATATACATTTATGTATTCACAGGGCAACATATGGCAGCAAATACTCTCATTTCACTTTATACTAGAATTAGTAACGACAATACCCTTTGCACTAACGGTAAGTACACTAAGTGTCCACTAAATTGAAAGCTAAATGAATTGTTTATTTGATAATTATCCGTTTTCTGCTTCTGCTCGTTGTCCTTTTAGATTGTGCATCCGCCGCTGCGCAATCTCTTCATTCCAATATTCTTAAATTGTTGGCTGGCCAAGCGTTCGCTGGAGAACATGTTTGTAAGTATCTGTATGTGTGTGTGTGTGTGTGCATGTTGAACTAACCATAATTCTCAATTTGTATGTTGAAAAACTTTTATTTAATTTTTTTTTTAGAACGATTTGCATCGTGCCATGCAAAAATCCCAATCGGCTTTGTCACAACAGTTGACCATTTTGTCGGCCACATTGTTGTGTCTGGTGTTCACCAGGTAAGCTACAACAAACTCACTTACCTGCTCAGTCAGTCCAGCACGCTCAGCCCCCCTCTCTCTCCCTCTCTCTTTTAGTGTTTGTGGTATACAGCACTTTCAGCGCGCAGGGCATCGCCATTTGAATCTATTCCAGAGCACCTACTATGTGGTTGTGACCTTTTCCACAGTGGGCTACGGCGATTTTGTGCCGGACATTTGGCCATCACAGCTGTATATGGTCATCATGATTTGTGTGGCACTGATTGTGCTGCCCACGCAGGTGAGTAAATGCATTTAATGCCCGACTGCGTTCAACTACTTTAACAAGACGGAGATGAGACATTTTGCTGGCGACTTATCTGGGCTGTCGCAGACTTTTTTATGCCAATATTTATGTACATCGTGTAGAGAGATGAGCAGATAGGCGAGCGGACACAGTTTTAAGCTGCTTAGCTGGCGCATGTTGACCGGGCTCAGTCCATCAATCAAAATGGCTATTAACCGATGAGTCGATGGCGCCTACTGGTCATCAATCTGTCTAAATACATATATATATATATATAAATATATGAGTCATGATTTTGACCCGAGTCAAAACAATTAACGAATAAATGTTTGTTGAATCTGTACAGTTATAGAACCGGCTAGTCAGTCAGCCTGACTGATGAACGCACCGGCGGACTCTGTATGCTGCCCAAAAAAACAAAAGCATCAATCAAAATGTTGTTTTATTGCAGCATACTTTTTGGGGCACTGGCTGCAGGCACTTCTCTCAAACAAGCTCCATGTCAATATGCCCGACGCGCTCCAACAATTTATGACCCGCTATAACAATAGCAAAAAGCAGCAGCAACATTGTGACCAAAATGTTGGCAGTGAGAGTGGATGGTGTGTTGAGTGTGTGTGTGTGTGGGTGTGTGTGTGTGTGTGCCCGCCTGGCAAGCACTTAAATTTTATTGAAAATATTAGTGCTGCAATTGAGACTGCAATCGAGTTAAACAAAAAACGTTCTCTGTGTCGCTGTCAATATTGAATGTCAGCAATCTATCAAACTTAAGATATCTGTATATATATGTGTGCAAAGTGATTGTGTAGATGAATGCGTTGCATGTGCACATATAAAATGCAGAACGTCATCAGATGGCTTTAATAGCTATCGAAGGTAGCTGAAGGGAGAAAACTGATAGGTAGATAGATAAGAATGGCTATAAATATTTTTTATTTTATTTCATTTGTTCAATAAAAAGCATTTAATAACATAACAAAGAGAAGAATATTTGTTATAATTATTATCAAGTATTTTCATTGAAAAACATTTTATTTATTAATATTTAATTTATTATATAAAATGAAAATAGTATATATTTTTTATTCATTCTATAGTATATACAGTATTAAAAAATAATATATATATATATATATATATATATATATATATATATATATATATATATATATATATATATATATATATATATATATATATATATATATATATATATATATATATATTTACTATTTTTATTTTATATAATAAATCAAATAATAATAACTAAAATTTGATAACTTAAAATATTGTTCAATAAAAAGTATTTGATAATAATTATAACAAATATTTGTTTAATATTTATGCAGCTTATAACAGGCTTATTATCATATAAATAATAAAAAAAATAATAACAAACTTGTATTGCTTACAATAAAGTATTTTTCATTTTATTTTATTTGTTATCTTTCCAAAATATTTTTTTTTAAAATGTATAAATTCGACTTTTATTTATTAAATATATGAATCTCTCTTTATTTATTTATTTATTTTTATTTTATTTATTTTTTTTAATATTAAAAAATTACTACTACCTTTTTTATATATTCTTATATATTTTTTAAATAATTGCAATAAAATTCAAGTTAATTTATACAGCAATAGAAATGTTTCCACTTATTCATATATTGCTTTTCTTTTGATTTTCTCGTTCATTTATTGAGCCAAAATAGGAATTTAAGTGATTTAAGTGTTTATTTTTCTTTTCATAAGTATGGATTTTATCTTTAAAGTATAGCAATTTATGGACATAAGCTTAAGTAGCTAGAAACACAAATTTTGGAGCATATTTGTGTGGGTGACTAGGCCAAGGCTCTGGGAATGTCAAAACAGTTGCTCATGCAAACAAATAAAACACGAACAGGACTCGGATTCCTCTTAAAAATATATTAAGATTGTTTGTGATGTTCATATCCGTTATTTTATTTGTATCCCCATGGCATTGCAGTTTGAGCAATTGGCCTTCACCTGGATGGAACGACAGAAACTGGGCGGCAGCTACTCCTCGCATCGAGCGCAGAGCGAGAAGCATGTGGTTGTCTGCTCAACTACGCTGCACGCGGATACGATAATGGACTTTCTGAACGAGTTCTATGCGCACCCATTGCTGCAAGACTTCTATGTGGTGCTGCTCAGTCCCATGGAGCTGGACACAACGATGCGAATGATATTGCAGGTGCCCATTTGGGCGCAGCGCGTCATCTACATTCAGGTTGGTTAAATAAATATTTGACAAACTGTGATTCGATACCAAATACCAAATACCAAATGCCAAATGCCAAATGCCCAATGACATTTTGACAAACGCACAGGGCTCCTGCCTGAAGGACGGCGACTTGGCACGGGCGCGCATGAACGAGGCGGAAGCCTGTTTCATACTGGCTGCTCGCAACTATGCGGACAAAACGGCGGCCGATGAGCACACCATACTACGGTCCTGGGCCGTCAAGGACTTTGCGCCGAATGTGCCGCAATATGTACAGATATTCAGGTGAGTTCTGTTGCGTGTAACGGGCGACACTTTGTCACGCCTCAGTTAATTCGATTTCTTTCACTGTTTGAGCGCTGTGCGTGCCACAGAACCAATGCCGTCAATAAATAGCTAACTACATGTATTTACATTCATCTTTCATTCTTTTCCCCTCTCTATCTCTCTATACATATATTGATGTGCGGAAATTCGCTGTGGCCAGACCGGAGCACAAGCTGCATGTGAAGTTCGCCGAGCACGTGGTCTGCGAGGATGAGTTCAAGTACGCCCTGCTGGCCAACAATTGCACCTGTCCCGGCGCCAGCACGCTGGTCACCCTTCTGCTGCACACATCGCGAGGACAGTACGTAAAAAAAATAAAAAACACATGTATATACATCATATATTCATATATACTATATGTCCCCTGTAATGCCCGGTCAACTGTTAATGGTCAGCAAACTCTAGCAAAAAGCTTGAAAGAGAGAGAGAGAGAGAGAGAGAAAAAAAAAGAAAAAAACATTTAGCTGCTATGCGTCAGCAGTTTTGCCGCCTTGATGCGTGTCACCTGTGTCATCTGGCATTTCGCATCACATTTTCTGCTATCCTTCGCCATGCCGGGCAGGCACTCAGGCGACCAAATTACTTAATCAACAGAAAAGGCCATAGATAAGCTTTATAGCTGGCTATTTGTTTTTACTCATTTCGAATTCTAGTTTCTTTGATATGCAGCCAAATAGCTCTGCACCTGCGGCAACACATTTAATTCGAATTTTAATGGGTTTTAAACTTCTTTACAACCCATTCAGCATAATTTTTTTTTTTTTACTTTTTAGATTATTATTTTTGCGCTTGAATTTTTTATAATAATTTAAAATAATTGCATTTTTCATATTTAAGTACCTATAAGCAGCTTTTATTTAATTTATTTCTTTGCTTTATTTATTATAATTTTTGTTTTCTTTTTTATGTTTAGTTCTTCTATTTATACATATTGTATAAAATTATTCTTCATATTTTATTCTGCACTTGCGGCAATAAATTTATTTTTATTTATTTTAAAATAGGTTTCAAACTGCTTTAAAACATTTTCATAATTTTTCTTTTTTTTTTCTCATTATATATTTATTATATTTAAATATACATATATTTTTTCATATTTATATATAGCTATAATTATTAGTATTATTGTTATTTTTTGAATTATTTATTTTATTTATTTATTTTATTTTTATTTATTTCCTTATTTTTTTTATTTCTTTTTTGTCTATGTAAACTTTCTTTTTCTCTTTATACCATTTTTCTTATCAAATTATTTTTACCACATTATTCATTAACTGCGACCCTGCTGAAGTCCTCAACGCTTTCAATTAGTAATTACTCCTTAAATTTTGAGCTAAAATTAACTTTAATTGTTGTTGAAAACATTTAAACACGCGTTGGTCGCATCCACTTCCATTTCCTGCATTAAATATCAAACTGGCACAAGGACGGACGCATTTGTAAAATGGAAATATGCGCAAATCGCGTCAATTTGAAGTGCGAGTTTTAATTAAATTGAATGCGCAATTGTTTCTGGCAGCAAAACTGAGTTTTATGCAAATGCTGCACGCTCATGAAGTGTGTAAAAAAAGCAAATAAAGATTAAATTAAATTAAATTAAATTAAATGAATGGAATACTCTCGGGCTGTCTGCGGCTTCAACACGCAAGCCAGATTAATCATACGCCGCGTATAACTTGACGCATTAGTTAACTAAAGAATTCTAATGAGTCTGTTCAACCCAGCACACAATTGTGCGCGTAGCTTTAACATATTTGTGGCCAGACACCAGAGAGAATCCGAAACCGAATAGGAATCCGAACAATTGAAACTAAAAACCTTAAAACCGAGCTCCTTTTTCTGGCTTGCACCTATTAAACTTTCCTTTAACTTTTATTTCTCTGCCGTCTCGCGCTTTGTAGGGAAGGTCAACAGTCGCCGGAGGAATGGCATCGTCTCTATGGTAAATGTTCCGGCAACGAGATTTATCACATTGTGCTGGGGGACAGTCGCTTCTTCGGGGAGTACGAGGGCAAAAGTTTTACCTATGCCAGCTTTCATTCGCATCGCAAGTAAGTGAAGATACTTCAAAATGCTTTTTAGTTAACAAAACTGAATTGACGTTTGACGTTTCGAGCCAAGCGGAGGGGCGTGGCATTGAGTGGCGTGTGGGGAGTGGCTGGGCGCAAATAAATGCCAACTTGCACGCCTCTTTATCTCGTCATTCATATTTATTTTGACGCTTGCGTCCATTCAAATACAAATTTATGTAAAATGCCAAAAATAAAATAAAATAAAATTAAATAAATAAAAAATAATGCTAAGCAAATATATATATTTTTGTTATATTTAGGTATGGTGTCGCTTTGGTGGGCGTGCGTCCGGCCGAGCTGCCAGAATTCTATGAGGATACCATACTACTGAACCCTGGGCCCAGGCACATCATGAAAAAGGATGACACGTGCTATTATATGAGCATTACCAAGGAGGAGAATTCGGCATTTGTCGTTAATCAAAATCAAACTACGGATACGACAACGGCAGCCGGTGGTGCTGGCAGCAGTGGTGCTAGCGCCACCACACATCACGCACATGCAGCAACTGGTGGGTACAATGCGGCACATGAATGCCAAATAAGTGTGTGTGTGAGTGTGAGACTGTGTGTATGTGTGTGTATTCGTGTGTGTGTGTGTGTGTCATCAAAAGAATTATAAACTACCAAAAAGACGAAACACACACGTTTGAATGACTTTGAATGTTGCTCAGAAAAAATATCCATATATTTATCAAATATATATAAATATATATCTATTTCATTTTCTATTTATAATTTAGCAACAAGTTTTTCTTATTTATGTTGATTTTGTTTTGGGCTGCTTTCGTTTGCGTTCGTTATCGGCAAAGTTTCTAATTCATTTGTCTGTCTTCAAGTAATTTGTTTTTCTTAATTTCATCTCGTTGCGGTTGTCAATTTGTCTGACTTAAAAATAAGAAATAAATTTGAAAAAAAATAAAAAATAAACAACAACAAACTGAAACGCTTTAAATGTGTGTGTGCGCGTGCCCGTCTCTAATTAATATCATTTATTTCTGTCTTGAAAGTTGACGTTTTTCATTTGTTCATTAATTAATTATCTTGCGCTCAAAGTTCGTTTCAAAAGCTAACACAACAAAAATAGATTCAGCAAGCAAAAAACAATACAAAAAATATGAAATATTCAATACAAAAATTCCACCGCTTTGTTATGTTTGTTCTCTGGCTCTCTCAGAACGTCTCTAACATCTTTCTTGTACTACTTTTTTTTTTACAACTTTGATAATTTAATTGCCTCTTGGCTCTTTTAAAATTCTATTTATATTTCTCTTGTTTCGAGCTTAGAAAGTATATATACTTAACATTAAAAAAAATATATATATATTTACATACAGTTTAGCTGGATAGCATATATTTTTTAGAACATTTTTTAGTCATTTCCAATATTTTTTTAAGTTTTGACAAAATAGAAATTTGTAAAATTTAAAGTAAAATTAAGTAACAATGATTGAAAATTGAAATTAAAAATTGATAAATGAAATTCTTCTAAATTCAATTAATGAATTAAATATTAATAATATAATATTGAATTCAACAATATAAAATAATTAATTAAATAAATATATTTAATGAAAATAATAAATAAACAATTTTTTGAATGTTTGTCATTTGTGTATTTAAATAAAATAATTTACCAAAATAAGTGAAAACATTCCTATTCATATGTTAATAAATTTGTCCTTCAAACATTTAAAAACGCTAAAAAAAAAATTGTTTATTTAAAACTAAATTCTCAATTGTTTGGAAATGACTAAAAAATAAATAACATATAAATAAAAATAATAAATAAAAAAATATTTTCTCATAACGAGTTGATATTAAACATTAGCGAAATCAATGAATAAACTAACAGATCACTGAACATAAAAAATAAAAAAAAAAGAAACAAAAAAAAAAACATAAAAATATATAGAAATGAGTACCCTAAGTAATAGCTGGCTAGCAAATACTCTGATAAATTAGAACTAAGCAAATCATCAATAAAGTCACATTAGATCTTGGCAACTCTGAGTACAATAGCTGAGAACTAAACCAAAAAAATACTAACTGCCCACACACATGCACGCACACCTCCACACACACACACACACCCAAACACGCTCCTTAACACACACATACCATATATATATCTACATATATATATATTATAATATCATATATATCGTATAATGTATGTGTAGCGAATACAACAACAACATCAACAACAAAACAATCAACAACAACAACAACAACCAGAACAATACCAACAACAATTAGCACGACTCTCACATCATCAACATTATTATCAGCATCAGCATCAACAACAACAACAGCAACTGCAACAGCAATCGCTTTGAATCAATCGACGATTGCAGCCGTGCCGTCTGTTTGTGTTCGTGTGCCCCATAGTCCCACCTATGACTCTGGCGCCGGCACGCCCCTAATTGAGAGGCAACACTTGCAACCGTTGTATCCGTATCCGCCACCGTCACCGTCACCATCACCGCAACCGTATCCGCAAATGCAACAACTAACATGTGACAGTGATTATACAACACTATTTGTGCGTGAGTGTGACTCCAAGAAAAGAAACTCCCCAAAAATAATACTAAAACAAAAAAAGAACCTTCTCCAATTGTACTGAACAACTCCAAAAGTTTTTTATATACTAATTCATACCGAAAGAAATGCAAAACAAAAATCCAAATCCAAAACATTTAACTAATAATCACATTTTGAAAACACCTTTACATAACAGTACTCTTTACCTCTAGTTCTCTATGTCTCTCTCTCTCTCTCTATATATATATATTTAACACTCTTTGTATTGCCTTCTCTTTCTATATATACATGTTTTATTTTTGTCTAGAACTTAAGTTTTGCTTAGCGCCTGTAAATGCCTTTGGACCCATTTGTAAGCCTGCCCAGCCCGACAACCATTTTCCGCTATTTGAAAGCCATTAGCGACAGGTGTCATACACACACATACATACACTCCCCCAAACACACACACACACTCTCGCACACTATGCTGAAGCAATTTCAGTTACTTACGCGATGCTATTTTTGTCTTTTGCTTCATTTTGCTTTTAGCACTTGTTGTTCCTTTCGACGTATTTTATTGCATGTCTCATATTGTGAAACCCTTTCTAAATGTTTTTTGTCTCTCTCCCTGTCTCTCTCTCCATCTCTCGATTGTTTATTGATTTTTATTGTTAGTTGATATTGTGTTCGTAGAGACTCCTGTCAATTGTAAATTATATGCAATGTACACGCAACAATTTGTTGGCGCACATCGCGTATACGCAATGCTGTGCACCGTACTCACATCGCGTATACGCAGCGTTTGCCCACATCCGTCTGTGGCCACAGCGGCAACTGTTGCGTGTCTGCCACAGGCAGGCTAGGAAATATTTCTATCAAAATACTCGTGTATTTTGTGGCCAAAATTTATGTGGCTGCTGTCGCCTTTCGTCTTAATTAAAGCGTGGTAACAAGCCTCTGCAAATGAGGCAGCGTCATTAGGCAAGCCAACTTGTGGCTTTGACTGTGCTGTGAACCAACGCAATTAAGTTCCAACTACACACCTTAACTGAAAGTCAATATTACGGGGCCAAAAACTTGACAGCGCTCAGACGCCAATGACACGAGCTGAAAGCTGAATGAAGATGGGAAGTAGATTGAAATGAGGAATAATCATAATAATAATAATATTATGACATTATTATTATTTTGGATCAAATTAATAATTTTTTATTTTTTTTATTTATTTATTTTTTTTTTTTTTTTGTTAATGTATTTTGCGAATCTTTTTAATACCCAAAAGGCTTAATGCAGTATATGTATAATACTATAATGTCTTTTTAATACACAGTTAAAGCTTTTTCAATTGCATAGACGAATAGAATTTTATCTCATTAAATCTTTTTTCTTTTTATTTATTTATTTATTTTTTTAATCCAAATCACAGAATTTGATCTTATTAAATATTTTATTATTATTTTTATTTATTTTTTTTTTTAATTCAAATCGTATGTTAAGCTAAACTTAATTTCGAAAGTTATCCTCTCAGGATATCATTTCGCATATTTCACTAGGATTAATTCCATATGTAAGACTCACTTTAAGCTAATGTCATTGGCATCTACTCCTGCTGCTACTGCTGCTGCTGCTACTCCTGCTGCTTAACCACTTGGCAATGGGCAACTTTGTCAGCTGCACAGTTCTTGGTCCTTGAATTGAAAAGAGTTTTAATGAGTTGAACAGGTTCTCCACCACTGCACGTCGTTTTCTCTCTCTCTCTCTCTCTCTCTCTCTCTCTCTCTCTCTCTTTCTCTGTGTGTCTCCTCCATCCCACACTGTTTTGTGCCGTCGTCGTTCAGCTTCTTCATCCTAGTTGTTTGTTGTTTGGCTAAACTATTAGTGAATTTTACATGTAAAGCAACGACATTTTGTTCAAGTAGCTATAAATTTTGTGCTTAATACTTTGCGTTAATGCACTGCGGTCTAATTGAGCGCGCACACTGTGGTACACTGAGCGAAAAATCTTAATAAATTTCCGATTGCAAATTTACCCTCTGTAGCCAGCGACACACCGACGGCTGTGATAATATCGGACTCCAGGCAGAATCTAAAGGACACAACGGTGAGCACAACGCATTTACCGACGGCGGCGGCTGCGACGACGACGACAACAATAACAACAACATCGCTGGTGCTAGGAGGCGGCAGCGGGGCAGCTGGCAGCAGTGGGACGGGTGGCCAAAATCAGGCCAGCTCCAGCAGCAGCGGCGGCGGCCTGGGCGTCGGCCTCAACATGGGCACCTCGCTGAGCATCACACCTGCCGCACTGACCACCACGGGCAATCACCTGGACGTGCCGTTCGCCAACAATCCCAATCTGCTCAGTCCCGATGTGCTCAATCAGCGTAGAGGTAAGAAAGAGATACGCAATAGACAGTGTAACCCTAGAGCTCAATTTGGCCCAAATAACCGTTATGTTTTCACACAATCTGCAGGCAGTCGTCGACCCTCCATATTGCCCGTGCCGGATATGTTTACGTCCTCATCGTTTAGCATAGCCGGCAACGACGATGGCGAGGAGGGCGATGAGAGCGACGATGAGATTGACGACGAGATGCCTTGGCGTTCGCCCTCAGAGAAAATTGCGTAAGTCTATGCATTTGGCCTTTAGCTTCCTCTGTGTGTCTGCCACAACCTAAGTAACTCCGTTTTCTTTTTCTTTTGATTAACCAATTGATAATTGAGGCACATTTCCTACCAAATCCCCCCCTTGTAATATGATAGCAGACTTATATATGCATAACTGTAACTGTGTGTACACCCCAAAAGAACAAGAAAAAACTTTAAAAAAATGCAAAGTCCTCAATTCACATAGTTAACTACTAGATGAATCTCTAACTGTACCTGACTTTATCTCCCTAACTGTGATGTATGTAAGAATGTAATCCTCCAATTGGCGTGCAATCAAACAACTGTCTAAATTCTTTGTCTATAAATGTAAATAAAACCCCTGCGATATTTTCAGCATTTTATTTTTATCGATTTATCAGTTATAGTTCGATTTTCTATGCAATCTAAAAGAAATTATGTGTAAAATTTGTGGGTATAAACTAAAAAAAAAAAAAAAAAAAACAAAAAAAAAATTAATAAAAAATAAAATAAAATAAGAACTAAAAAAAAAAATAAATATATTTATTAACAACAACAAAATTCGATATATAAGTACAACATAAAAAAAAATATCTACCAAAAATTAATTTGAAAATTGTTTTCATTTATTAACCAAAAATTATGGAAACTTGTTATATTTTTATTTCATTAAATTTATACATTATGCCTCGTTTCTCCTTCCAAATTATTTTGCATATTTTTTTTTAATTTTATTTTTATTTGTTATTCATTTTTAATATATAATATATTTATAATATATAAATGCTGAAAATATTGCTTTAGCCCAGTCCACTCAATCTATGTTTATGATATATAGATATATATATATATTCATGTTGTCTTAGCTGTAACAATAATCCTGCCTTGAGCACCCAAAGAAAACACTTAGCTTAGCTTAGACCCTACTCTCGTCCTTCATATGAAACGCTGAAAACAAAACCAAAAAAAAAAAAAAAAAAAAAAACAAAACCTAAACTCTCGCAGTTGCTTGGGCGGTCACTTTCCACAATCGCGCACCTATTCGCTCATCATGAGCTCCTCGGAGGACTCGTATCAGCAGCGTGGCAGCGCGCTGGGCGGCGCCAACTGTGGCTATTGCAATGCCAATGCCGCCAATGCGCCAGCAGCGCAGCCGCTGCCAGCGTCGCTACGCCGGCGCGCCATGAAGAAGAGCTACAGCTGCGACAGCGAGTGCGCTCTGCCGTCTGGCCAGCGTTTGGGCTTGGACATGGGCCTGGACATGAGCCTGGGCCAGGGGCTGGCCGGTGGTCCGCTGGCATTGCTGGCGGCGCGACGTCGCCAGTTGCAGCGCTGCTCCTGCTGCTACAGTTGCTCACGCGACAGCTGTGGCAGCAGCAGCACCACCACCGCCACCACCACCACCACAACGGCAGCGGCTGCCGGTCAGGCGCACTTTCACAGCCTAGCCCAGTGCCCGTTCCAAGCACCGCACCCGCCCCCGCCGCCGCCACCGCCTCCTGGCTGTGGCTTTACGTCGAGCAGCTCCGCAGAGACACGTCGCTTGGCGCGTCCGGTGTGGGCGGCCGACTATTCCGGGTAAGTTGCCGCCCGTTCGAGGCGCCGCCACACAGCGGGCCACCAGACACCTGCAACTCGGGCTGTGCATTTTGGAATGTTCCATTGTTGAAGAGTTGTTATCGTTGCTATTTGCTGTTGCTGTTGCCGTTGCAGTTGTTGCTGCTGCTACTATTATTATTGTTGCTATTGCTGCCGCTTCTTATGCAATATTTTGTTTGCTTGCAACAGTCGCTAGTTGCCTGCCGCAGGGCACTTTTTAATGACTTGCAACGTTTACCTTGGACGGAGCGCGCTACGACTTGAGATTTGTTGATGATGCTCTTTCACGTTTTCAGTCTTGTTTAACATATACCCTAACAAACTTTGAATGCTGGCTAATGGAGCGTATAGCCAGTGAAAATTGCCCTAAAAAGAGAAAAAAATAAAAAAAATATTCAAATAGAAAATTTGTTCAATTTAAATTGAATTTGTTATAATATTACAAAAATAAATTTAATAAATTTTTCCATACTGCCAAAGTTGTAATGCTAGCCAATGGAGCGTATAGCCAATGACTTAAGCGGAAATACAGAATTTTTATACATTAACAAAAAAATAAAAAATTAATAAATAAATAAATAATTAAATTTTTATAGACAATTTTCTCAAACTTAAATAGAAGTTAAAACATGTTAAATTATGTTATAATATTACCAAAATAATTTTCCCAACATTTAATAAATTTATTCATACAGTCAAAATTTGAAGGCCATGAACAATTGTCCTAGGCGAACAATAAATAATTTTTATAAGTTTAAAAATAAAATTTAAATAAAACTTTATTCAATTATTCAAATTAAATTTGCTTCTCCATATTTTATGCATTTCAAACATAAAAAAAATTATCGTAAAATACTCAACAAAAAAATTCCTAATTTAATTAATTAATTCATACTGAATTTTATTCCAAGTATTTTCCGAATCAATGATTTGAGAATTTCTTAAATTTTAATAGGTTAATACGAATAAGAATTTATCATCAAATTACTTGTTTTTGATATAAAAATTTAATGATTTGCTGTTGAAGAAATCATCTGTTGTTAGAAATCATCCATTACCTTTCGTGCTTACAGCGTATTTATATAGTCGTTCGATGCGACTATGCTATGCCAGCATTTTACAGTACCATATTCTTGTTGTTGTTGTTATTATTATTGTTGTTGATGTTTCTGTTTACGCCGCGGCTTCCTTTATATTCAATTTCGTTCCTTTTCTTTCATTCTTTGCTTTAACGCTGAGTTGCATCTTTGTCGTTTGTCGTTTGCATTCATACAAAAGTTGTTCTTTGGACTCAACTTGTTGTTATTGTTATTGTTGCTGCTGCCGCTGCTGTTGTTGTTGTTGCTGTTCATTTACAGTGCTGCTGGGCCAAGACCCACGTAACAGTCAGTCGCGATAAGAGCCACCGTTGTGGGTCAGTCTCCGACTCAAGCAAGTTAGCCAGTTGTAGCAGCTGTTCGTTGGGCCACATTAATTGCATGCTAAAAGGAAAACTTTATGAAAATCATCATCTATTCAGATACAAACGACAATTGCGTAAATACATTGCCATGTAGTTAGAGGACACGTGTTTTCCTCTTTAGATGTAGACTTCAGTTTTTCTGCGCCGCCTGCTCACATCCTGCACTTAAAAACAATGAGAAACGCTTTACCTTTAACCTCTTTTTTTTCATTTGTTCTTGCTTAAGACAAATTTCGAGAAAAAATTTGTTCATCTGAGCTCATTTATATAACTGCTGTAACGCATAAATTTTCTACATTGCAGCATTGTCAAAGGTTTTCCGCCAGTCTCGCCCTTCATTGGGGTCAGTCCGACGCTTTGCTACCTGCTCAAAGAGAAGAAACCGCTATGCTGTCTGCAGCTGGCACAGGTGATGAAGATTTAGAAATAATAGACATGATTACTTCAACTTTCTCTATCTCCCTCTCTCTCTCTCTCTCTCTTTCTCCCTCTAGGTCTGTGAGCACTGCAGCTATCGCAATGCCAAGGAGTATCAATGGCAGAACAAGACCATCATTCTGGCTGCGGACTACGCCTCGAATGGCATTTACAACTTTATCATTCCACTGCGTGCTCATTTCCGCTCGAAGACCTCACTGAATCCGATTATTTTGCTGCTGGAGCGACGACCCGATGTCGCCTTTCTCGATGCACTTTCCTACTTTCCACTGGTGAGCTGCCTCATCCTCACTCTCTTTGCAGCTCTCTAAATGCACATTTCCATTAGGTTTATTGGATGCTGGGCTCTATTGATTGTCTGGATGATCTGCTGCGCGCTGGCATTACGCTAGCCGAGAGTGTTGTGGTGGTCAACAAGGAGCTCTCCAACTCCGCCGAGGAGGATTCACTCTCCGACTGCAATACGATAGTTGCTGTGCAAAATATGTTCAAGTAGGCCGTTTATCTAAGGAGATAACTGCATTCAAGTCTAACTCTTCTTCACTTCCGCTCAGATTCTTTCCAAGCATCAAGAGCATCACGGAGCTGTCGCAGAGCTCGAATATGCGCTTCATGCAGTTCCGGGCGCACGACAAGTACGCTCTGCATCTCAGCAAAATGGAGAAGGTCGGTAACAAGGGGGCCCCGGGGCGGGGGGTTTACCGTTGCAGTTGTCATTGGTTAATTTGTCGCTCACTTAATTGCAGCGCGAGAAGGAGCGCGGTTCGCATATCTCGTACATGTTTCGTCTGCCCTTTGCCGCCGGCGCGGTCTTCAGTGCCTCCATGCTGGACACGCTGCTCTATCAGGCATTTGTCAAGGACTATGTGATTACATTTGTGCGACTCCTGCTGGGCATTGATCAGGCGCCAGGCAGCGGATTTTTGACTTCGGTAAATATAAAAATAAAATAAAATAAAATAGGTATATAAAAATTTTTTTTAAATAAATAAATAAATAATAACTAATTAGAAACTAAATAAAAAATTATAAATAAGGAAAAAATAAATGCAAAAAGAATAGATCAAATACTCCAAAATAAAATAATTAAGAAATAATAAAGTTTTATTTTATGTATTATTGAAGTAAAAAATAATAAATACAAATAAAATTTTGACTTCAATAACTAAAAAGAAAAATATTATAAAATAAATGAATAAAAAAAAATAAATAAACTTAAATAAAAAAAAATAAACAAATATTAAATATTATACGAAAAAAAATTACTTAAGAAAATAATATATAAATAAACAAGTAAATAATTTTAATAAATACACAATAAATAATTAAAAAATTAATAAAAAGTAAAAATACAAAATGAAAATAAATTTTAAAAAAGTTACTCAAGAAGAAATAAAACTCACTCCTCCGCTCTTCGTCTCACCGACAGATGCGCATTACGAAAGATGACATGTGGATACGCACCTATGGGCGTCTGTATCAGAAACTCTGCTCGACCACCTGCGAAATTCCAATTGGTATCTATCGCACGCAGGACACCTCCAATGCGGATACTTCACATGTGAGTAACTCGCCGGTCGAGAGATGGGGACCCTTCTCCGCCTTCAGCAGGCATTGTGTGCGCTTGCGTCCATCGGTGAGTCCAAAACAAATGCAGCCAACCAAGAAAACAACAACGAAAAAATAAAAATAACAAATTCTGAAATCGAACAAAGTTTACTTTCAACCTTTTGGGCCCCTTTTGCCAATTCTTTTGGCCGCACCTAAACTAAACTAACCAGAACTAAAACAACCGAAATTTGTTTTGCCTTCAACTTATCACACCAAAAATACACTACTCACACAGCCTGTCTCTCTTTCTCTGTCTGTCTCTAACTAACTCTGTCTCTTGCTCACAACTTAGGTATACAAGAAAAGAAATTCAAATGAAATTGATTTGTACTCGATTTAAGTTAGTCTTTGGTTCTTAATATTTAATTAGCGGACATTCGTTTATGTTTTAGTTTCTGTTACTATTGATTTATGTGTTACGTCCATTGAGTTTATTTTGTTTTTAAATCACACGCTTACGCTTCGATACTAACTGCATTTGAGACAAGTCTGCGCCAAAAAAAAAAAAAAAAATCTAAACTTCATTTGCATATTTTACTCAATATATATTCTATATCTACTTATAAGTAATCGTATACTATATACTATACTACTACAAGAACTCTCTTTTTCTCAATTATTACTCTTGAACTTGTGAACGTAATGGCAAAGCTAAAAAGATTTTTAATCAAATTTCAATTAACGTAACTTTTACTCGCTTAACAACGATCTAGAGTTTTTTTTCCTCATATACATATCAATATATATATATATATATATGCTTAGCCAAAGAAACCCTTTCGAAAACATAAAGCATAGCGTGCTGATTTAGCATCAATTGTATAAAAATTTCCCCCTTGATTTTGTATATAAACCTTAAAAAACAAAAAATGAAAACTTTCGTAGTTGATTTTATATTTTTATATATTTTATTGAATCAGCCAGTCGAAAGAATTTGCCAAAGTTTTTTCCCACAATTTTTAGCTCATCTTTTGCCTAATCCTTACTCGTATTATAAACACACACATTAGCTAAAAATAAATGAAAAGAAAATTAAAGAAAATGAAAAACCCAAGCCTTCTTGGCGCCTTCCCCGGTTCCTACAAATTTGCGAATAAATTACTCATACGACCCATTGTCGAATTTGTCTGTCGAAATGAAATGTTGAAATGAAAATAAACTAATTTGCGTTTGTATTGGACTTGACCAGCTATTGAAAATACGCACACGCACGCAGTGAGTCACATATATATTTAATAACAAAACATAGACTAGTCAAAAAAGGACAATCTAAAAATAAAAAATATATATATACTAAAAATATACTCAACAAGAACAACAACAAAATCTATTTAAAAAATCAAATACATTTCTCATACAATCCTCACAACAATTGCCTGCCTGTCTCATAAGCCGTAGCATTCTCTATGGCCATTCTTGTGTGTGTGTGTGTGTGGTGGTCTGCCTATGTGTGTAGATATATAGTATAGTAGAATTAGCTAGGAATTCGCTTGCATGACTCTGTTCTTCTCATCGCTTGCTGTAATTTTTTCCGTTTCCGTTTCCCTTCCGTTTTTTTTTTTTTTTTTTTTTTTTTTTTTTTTTTTTTTTTTTTTTTTTTTTGCATGCAGACCTTTAATTAGCTGATTGCATTTGCTTGTTGCGTTGCGTCCTGCACGCCAGGACAATAGCTGGCCACGAAAAACAAAACATAAATAATTACATTATCCATAGGCGTTGTAAAACACCTGAACCAAACCCCGCTTAACCCATTGCTGCTGTCTGGACTCGGCTATTGTTGCACTTCGTGTTGTGGCCTTTGATATTTATTAATTATTCAACATCAGTCAATAAGTTTACCACAGCTTCATTTATTTTTTAATCGTTGCTCGATTATCGATATTAGTTATCGTTGGGCTTAAAAATAAAGATTTATCTTTTAATTATATTTTCATTATATTTAATTATTTATCCACCTAATATAAATCATTTGTTTATTTATTTAAAAAATAATAATAATTATTATTTATAAAAATATTATTTTTTTTTTAATATATAAACTTTTATTAAAGCTCATTATAATTATTATTAATATAATATAATACAATTTTTACAATTATCCACCTAACATAAATCATTTGTTTATTTATTTTAAAAATAATAATAATAATTATATATAACAAAAATATTTGTTATTATATAAATTTTCATTAAAGTATTATTATATAATATAATATAAATTTATTAATGCAATTGCCGTACAGTATTTAGATTTTAATCTGTTCTTTATTCCACCAATTAAATTTCATCAATTTGTAAAAAAAAAAAATCCATAGATACCAGAGAAAACTTTCGTGTTTCGAAATGCTCATTAAAATTGCTTAGCTTGATTAAAAAATCGATACAAATTAGCGAAACGAACGGCGACTATGAAACTCGAGCTGCAAAGCACGAAATAGGCAAAATCCTGAAGAGACCATTTCATTTAGCATATTAATTAGATTTTTAATTGACTTTTCGATCATTTCGTTGCGCAAATTTGTGAACAAGCGCTTGCCAAGCACCTTTTACGAACAATAGTTTTTCATTTTGTTTTTCTTTTCAATTTTCTTTCGATGCTTTTTCCATTAATTTGATTATAAACGAAAAATTGATTACGAACATGTTTTGGCTTTTAGTTAACATTTTATTCGGCATGACTAACAACACAGATTCAATGTTACCTTGTTTTTTGTACACACACACACACACACACACACATGCACACGCACACACACTAAATAATACATCTATACATATATCTATATATATAAAGATAACATCGTTAACATTAAATGAGCATAAAGCCCAAAGAAAAAAAAAAATGATATATATATATAAAGATAAACATTATTCATGCATAAAACTGATACAATCTGCCATTTCAATTAAAAACCAATTAAAAATGTAAATCATTTTGTGTTTAACCGAAAAATTCATTGAAATTTGCATACCAAAAACCATCTCGACCCGGCCAAAAAAAAAAAAAAAAAAAAAACAATTCCATGCTAAGTATGATGAGGAGACTGGCACGCCCGACTCCACCAAGGATAGCTCGGAAATGCTGCGAGGTGTTACATATCGTCCGCCGACAGCGGGTAGTGGTGGTAGTGGTATTGGTGGTGGTGCAGGTGGTGGTGGTGGTGGCCGGCCGCGCCAGAAGTCAGTCAATTGCCTGGGCGGCTGTTCGGAGCGTAAAGGATCATCCGTAAGTAATCTCATTTCAAGTCAAAAAAAAAAAAAAAAAAAAAAGAAAAGCACACACATACACACACAAATATCACAATTGTGGGCGTGACGCGAGGTAGGTGAGTTTTAGTTCCTTTTATGACTTGGTTCTTGAACGCTTTGACGCATGCTGTTGGTGATGGATGCCAGAAAACTGAGTATATATCTAAGATAACATTATCACTGCACTCACATACACAGAAACAAACAAACACACTCACATACACACATCAATGTGTAACTAACAAATTGAGCAAACTTCTTCGACTTGCATACATTTTTAATGTTTGGCTGGACCAACATCTCTTGCAGTATTCCATCAATTTGGCTGACGAGGCACGCGATAATCACGCCCAGCAAATCGAGCGAGCGGAAATCGCGAATCTGGTGCGCAGTCGCATGGAGTCGCTCAATTTGCCAACCATCGACTACGACGATGTCAGCGAGAAGCGCAATCATTTGTCCTATGTGATAATCAATCCAAGCTGTGATCTTAAGCTGGAGGAGGGCGATCTGATGTGAGTATGATTCGAGAGAGTTTAGTTTGCTTATCAAGAAACTTTTATAGCATAGAGTGAAAAATGAGGGAAAATGTGTATCCATAGCTCGTTGAACTTTTATCAATGCCACTCACACTCTGACACAAAACTGAGAGATCAATTGGGACGGTTCTTCAAATCGTATCACTCTAAACGATGTTTGTGGAAAGAGCGTCACACGAACAGATCAACTCCAGGCGCTCAGCAGAAAGCAAAACGAAAGAAACCGAAGGCCCTTCGGCTATGCCCAGAGCGAGTGCGAATGAGTAGAATATTTTATAGTTGATCTCGGGAACAGTGGTTAGGGTATAAAACAGTTGGGACTGGCTGATGTTTTTTAGATTACAACTAGTTTGTAATTCGCATAGACTTACTAAAGTTAAAAGCCAATTGCAAAATGTTGAAAAAATTCTACAATTTATAAAAAAGATCGGGGAATGAGTATTCAAAAAACTCTTAGCAGAAAGTATAATTAGTTAATTAAATCCAATATTTTATATATATCATAATTATTAGTATATATATTACTAATATTACGTACTTCAAAAAGTGATTTGAATTAAATGAAAATAATTCTAATAGCTGATATTATTTATTTTATTATTAATAAATAGTTTATTCTAAAAAGAAATCTTCTATATATATTCAATATGTTTAAATTCAAGCTAATTAATTTCTGTTCAACCCAATATCTCTAAATTTAATTCACAGCTATTTGGTGCGCCCCTCACCGTTCTCGGCACAAAAGACCTTCGAGCGTCACAATTCGCGCCGCAAGTCGAACATTTCGTTCTGTTCGAACATCAATTTGGGCGCCACCTGTGGCCCGCAAATGCCAAATATGAGCAACACCGCCGTCGGAGCTGGTTCGCGACGCGGCTCCGGCATCGCCGGTTTGAACCCCATGCAAATGCAGAGCGTTCAGACATTGGCCGGGTATGGATCATCGCAGCGCTGTACGCCCCCGATGCAGCAAATTAAATCGAATTCTCTTTCTCTACCCGACAGTCCGACGGTGGTTGGCTCGCAGCGCGGCAGGAGTAACTCATTGCGGGTTGGCTATTATTCTCTCTATCCACACCTCCTACACCTATCTCTCCCCCTCTCTCTCTCTCTCTCTCTCTGTTTTATGTTCTTTCTCTCTAACTGTCTCACTCACTTACTGCTCACTGCCTCCCTATCTGAGTCACACGATTTCCACTTTCCTGTTTTTTGCGTTCACGTTTATCGACACTCCAAAAAATATACTCCACTCCATTTATGTCCACAACTTTACCTAGATAACTGTGTATTTATCAAATGCCAGAGCTGCCTTATATATGCCCTAAATTCATGATCTATCATGTCAGTCTGGCATTGCATAAATATATATTTATCTGCTACATATTACATATTTAACATTTCAATACCTTTGCAGCAACAGTATAAATAATTTAAACCCACAAATTTTTTAGCTTGAAAAACATTGAGAGTTCTTTGAGGCCTGAACATCAAAAGCATGAATATCAAGTTGAGCCATAAAATGTATAATTAGTTCCCTTAAATACTTAGTTCATTTACCTTCAAATCGCAGTTTTTCATAGGAATCAAATTAGCAGGCAAAAATAAATAATAAAAAAAAGCTTTTCCTAAAATTTTACGTTGCTTTGCTTTATAGCCATATTTTAGGAGGAAATCAAAATTTTCAGTTATTTTTGGGAAACAATTACGACGAAAGTTAAACAAATTTATGAAAAGTTTTTTATGAATTTTTGAATGAAAAACAGGGATTTTTTTTATTTTTATTTTTCCTTAAGTAATAATTTAATATAAAACACACTTTTTTATTTATATTTATATTTACATGGTTTACATATTTATTTATATATTGATATACATATAATTTATTTTTTTCTTTTTTAATATTTGTTGCTAATTTTTTTTTATTTGAAATTGAATGAAAAAATATGTATATTTTTCTTATTTATTTTTTTTACTTATTATTATTATTTTTTATTTTATTTTAATATATACACAAAAAGATAGATTACAATTTTCATTAATTAAATACATACCTGATATTTTAGACAGTTGCCTTATTTTTGCTTACCAAAGAGCTGCAAGGGTATTGAATGCTTCGGCTTACCGAAATGTGATTTTACTTTACCTAATTGGCTAACATAACACCTAGACTTGAGCAATCACCCAGTTGTTGTATGAAGAAGCACAATGTATAAAATGCCACAATGCTCACACACACTACTAGCACAAACACATAGACACAAACACATAGATCCATGTAGAGCATCAAAATTTGATTGCATTTCGTTATCGAAAGACTCCATTTCACAAAATTGAAGCGTTTCAAAAAGCCGCAGCACTCGACAGCCGCAACAGCCAGACCAACATCAACAACAACAACTACAACAACAACAACAACAACTGTCAGCAACACCAAGTACAACTAAAGCAGTTCAGCAACCATTCATAACCATAAAGCACGCACGCAACGGATATGTCCACATCACGTTTCCGTTTCCGTTAACTCGAGTTGGTTTTGCACCCGCAAAGAATATAAATACCGTAACGAAATAATAACAGCAACAGTAATAATCATCACGATCAAAATAATAATAATAATAATAATATAATAGCCTAATGCAAACAATTTAATCAACTAGCGTGCGGCACGGATTTCACTTCAATGTGTGTTTAGGCCAGCGAAAAAGAAAAGAAAAAGAAAAAAAAGAGAGAGAAATTCTTGTAGCCAATTTGTATTGTGTAATTCATGTGTCTTTGTGTGTTCTTTGTATTTTGTTTTGTTTTGGCCATTCGCTAGTTGTCTTTAATCTCTAATCCGGTCTCTGCCTTTTGGATGTGTCCAATACTATTGTATTTACAGATCGATAACGATATACTATTGCGTCGCTCGTCCTCGCTGCGGCAGGGCTTGCCCAGCGTGGGCGTCAGCCATGGTCGTCGCAAGTCCTCGCTGGAGGAGATCGGCATCAGTCACTTTACCACACTGATGCAGGCCACCAATCACAGCAATCCCATCAAGATATCACTCAATGGCAGCATTGGCATGGAGGTAAAGGTCTCTAGCTCACTCAGGCTACAGATTTTCTCAACTCTCTCTCTCTCTCTCTAGAATCAAATCTCATTGCAAGTGACGCCGCCCGAGGAGCCAACGCCCATGTTGGGCGTGCCGTGTGTGCTGGGCGGCGGCGGTGTGGGCGGCATTAATCCGTCGGCACTGGGTGGCAGCTCTGGCGGTGGAGGCGGCGGCGGTGGTGGCAGCGGCGGTGGCGGTGGTGGTGGCGGCGGCGGTAGCAGCGGCGGCATGCTGGGCGCCGGCTCCTCGCTGGCCATAAATACCGCAGATCTGGGTCCCGGGCCGAGCACCTCGTCGGGCGCCTCGCTGCAGGCGCAGGACTCGCTGCCGCAGTCGTCGCAGGCTCCGTCGCCGCAGCATTTGCAGGGCACGATTGTATGATACAACCTGATGTGGGGTCGCCGACTCCGCTCGTCCATGTCCAAAAACAAATGGATATAGAATTCGGCCAGCACACACAGACGTCGAGACAAGTTCTAAAGGAGCTAGAACTGTCTCTGCTTAAAATAAGGTCAAGCTGCTTAACCCTAGAAACAACCAAAAACTGAAAAACGAGCATAAAAACCAATTAAAACACTATTTATATAAAGAATTGTAAAGAGATGAGCGCGTGTCGATATATCGTGTCACGGTTTATTTACATTGAGAAAAGTGATTAAAACACAGTGTAAGTTTTTGTTTTCGTTATTATTATTTTGTTACTGTTGTGAATATGTTTTGACAAATTCATGGTGTATGTATTATTATATATAAAATATATATATAAATAAATTTATCATTGATTTTCTCTATAAAAAACTTTTCTAACTTTTTTTTTATTATTATTATAAAAAAAAATAAATAAATAAATAAAAATTTTAATTTTGTTTATTTTTTTATCTAATATTATGTTCTTTATTTTTTACTAACTTGTTTGTTTTTTATTTATTATTATTATGTTATTTTATTTTTTTATTTTATTTTTATTTTATATTATGATTAATATTTTCAGTATTTACACTATTATTATTATCATATTTCATATTATTTTAAAATTAATTTTCCATTAAAAACACATTTGGCATTTAGTTCCACAGCTCGTGTCACGAATATATCTATAACTCTCAATTGCTCGTCTCTAAGTATTATGTATTAAGAACCCAACCCACCCAAAAGCAGCCTGTCCCGTGTCTGTGTTGTGTGCGTGTCGCAGCTAATGAAATATACTCTAGTATTGCCCCCTAGATGGGGAATTCCCCTCCATCAAATTGTCCCCTTCCCTATCTCATTCTCTCCCTGAGTTGGCTTAGTTAAGTGTGCGAAAAAAAAAAGAGAAAACAAGAAAATTCTATGCAGATATGGATGTGTTTTATCATTTCGCTTATAGGCAAACTACACTTAAGTATTTGAGTAGCAATAAATTAGATTCAAAATTCGGTATGCTTTATTCAAAAAGTGTGCAACAAAAGTGTGTTTTGGGAACAACAAAGTAGTTAAACTATTGGCATGAATGGAATGGTATATACCACTTTAGCTAGCTGTAAATAGTATCGTGCATTAAGATGTGTTAGCTGCTAATGCATTCTATATATAGATCTAAGTAAATTTGATTCATTTCTAGCATATCTCGCTCTAATGCAAATTAGCTGCCCCAAAATCAAGAGGCTCAAAACCAAAAATCAAGAAAATTAATTGCAATACAAAATTTCAAAATAATTTTAGCAGCTTTTTCGTAGCAATAGAAATTATGTATATACGATAGTTTATAAGTGATAGTTGTAGTTGAAATTTGTTCATGATTTCATTCTCTATAAATTTGAAGAATTCGCATTGCGCACAGCTACTTCCTTAGGTTTCATATGTTGCACAGAGTTTTGAATTGAATTCGTTATTTCGCTAAAGTAAATAAACTATATTTTACTATAAGAAAGGTGCTATCGATGTTTTGTACCGAAATATTCTTTCAATTCATAAAAATTAAATTTATAAAAAAAAAAAACAATACTTTTTAATGATGGTTTTCAGAACATAAAACATTCAAAAGAAACAGGCTTTGGTATACTCTAATGCTTTACAAAGAAAAACAAACAAAAATGAAAATATGAAAAACAATGCTATGTAGTCGCTGTAAATATTAGTTATTAAGATGGTAGCATTCAAGGAACTGCATACAAACTATTAGAACTACAACGCAAAACAACAGAAATTAGTTAATAATAAAGTTTATGAATATATATAGTCGATAGTCGATAGTCCTTAAGCACTTAGTTCGGTTTGAGGGCCGTGCTCAAAGCCTAAGCCTATAGCTTGTAAACGAAACTGTACCAAATTGAATGAGCTATACACATATTCCAAGCATCAACCACATATATATTATATATATCTTAACTGTCGATTGGCACCTCTAAAGAACGAAACCCAGACACGTCCCCAGCAACAGGGAAAATTTATTAATTAGCCTTTAGCTAAAGCATACAAATGTACCTACACTCCACACACATACACATACATATACATATATATATATACACTTCTATATATATATATATATATATATATATATTCATGAACCTTAAGATGTATACATAGAGCACAAAACAATTTTATACTAAGTGAATTTTACTCGGTTCCAGTTTGAAACGATGCTGAACCATGCATTCCAGTGTCTCAAGAACCTACGCGACCTATGCGCGCTTAGATAAGCCTAGCACATCCAATAACAAAAAACCACAAAAAAAAAAAAGATTTAAAAAAATGAAAACATTTAGCAACTATATATAAATATATATATATATATTTAGTACTAGGTATTCTATTAGCAGTCACTAAATTAGAAATTAGTAAATGTCTCAATGTACAAACAGCAAACAGATGGCAATGCCTACAATTAGTTATCAAAGAACCACAAGCAACAACAACAACAACAAGAAACAACTAAACATAAACCAATTGTACTTACTACCTTTAATTGATAATTGAGTGCTCTGCGCAGCATATTACAAGTTTAGATCATACAACTTTGCTGTAATATTTCAATGTGCTCTTTAAGGCACTCGACAACAACAACAACAACAACAAAAACCATGACATGAAAAACTTACAATAAATTCAAAATATATAGTTGATGAAAACTGAATGGAGTTGTTGATGGTTAAAAGTGGGACAGGACTTGAATATTAAAAAAAAAATATTTAAATGGTAAAAGTTATAATTTAAATTACTCGTTTTATATATGGAGTATATATATTATTAGTTTCATTTTTTAAATTCATAAATGAATGTTATTGTTCATAATAATTTTATTACGATAATAATTTGTATTTTTTTTGTTTTCTATTTATGATTTGTTTATTTTATTTTATTTTTTTATATATATATTTTTTTATTTTTATTATTATTATTATTATTTTTTTTTTTTTGATATGCAAATTCATTTTAAATTAATCTTCATTTATATTTATGTTTCATTGTCCTTTAATCTGAACAATAAACAAATTTTCAATAAATATTATAATTTTATATTAATATTTAGGATATTCAGTGTTTCAAAAATTAATATAAGCATAAGTAATATTACCTATTATTTATTCTTTATTTTTTTTTCTGTCTTTTTAATTTTTAAACTCACCAGGAATGAGTTTACAAATCGGTAGATTATATAATTCAGACACTCATATATTTCCTACCCAGTCAAATAATGCAACATAAGTCTGTATATTTATTTATATATTATTTATTAGATTGAGTAGCTTTACAATGATGGCACACATTAGTTTGATTTGCATTATGAATTAATTGTTTGGTTTGCTTTGGTACGTGATCTTCAGTATTCTTAGTTTATAGATTTCATTGTTATGCGTATACAAAAATAATTTTCCTTTCCATTTTATAAGTTAATTCGTTTTTTTTTTTTCATTTCTCTTTTTTGTTGTTATTTTTAACTAATTAAATTGTAGACCCTTCGCTGGCCTTCAATTGCGTGGCACTACATAGTCGTAGGGCGAGGCCACGGTGCAGCCGGTAGAGGCGCTGGTGCACTTGCAGCTCTTGCCGGAGGGTGCCTTGCGGTTGACCAGGCAGATCCGTGAATCGGTGCAGCCGCCGTTGTTGATCTGGCACTGGCTGGAGTATTGCGGACAGTTCTGCTCCACGGCGGTCATGCCGTATAGCTTGTGGCTGCCAAAGAAGGACGTCTGTATGGGCTTCTGGCGCACGCCCGAGCTGTCCACGCTCTCCAGCTTCTTGCTGCGAAGGAGAGAGATAGAGAGAGAGCAAAGCTAAGAGAATTTCCATATTATGCAAAGCTTTCGAGCACCTACGTTGTCCAGTCGGTCCAGTAGAATTGATCGTGCGTAAAGGTCAAGCCGAATGGATAGGACAGCTCCTGGGATATGGTGCGCGTTTGACGGCTCTGCGCATTGATGCACTCCACTTTCCTGGTGCCCGCATCCGCATAGCACAGCTCACCGCTGTGCTCCACGACCACCAGCGAATTGGGCAGCTTGACATCGTTGGCGCCCAGCAGCAGCTCCCGGCCAGTGCCATCCAAGTCGGAGTACTCTATCTTGGGGTTCGAGCGATCCCAGTCGGACCAGTAGAGTTTCCTGCCAAAGCGAGAAGCGAGATTAGTGAACATAGATCTTAGTGCATTTCCTGGCTAGTTCGACTCACTCTCTGTAGGGATCCACAGCAATGCCACGTGGATTCACCAGATCCTTGTTGATGATGACAGCGCGCAGCGTGGGATCGTCCAGGCTGGCCACCTCAATGGTGTCCTTCTCCGAATCCGTCCAGTACAGGCGACGCGAGATGACATCAATGGCAATGCCCTCCGGAGATTCAATGTCTGCAAGGGATACACAACATGATGAGATGACCGATAGGTCATATGTACGGATTCCTTCCACTTACCTGTGCTGATGAAAACGCGCTCATCGGTGCCGTCGTACTTGGAGCTGATGATCTTCCGCGCCGATATATCGCCCCAGTAAATGCGTCCCTCCACACAGTCCTTGTCCAGGCCAATGGCCATCGAGGCCACCTTGATGGGCATCACGTTACGGCCATTCAGGGGCACACGCACCAGCACCACGCCCTGGCTGACAATCAGGAAGTTGGAGTCGTGCTGTTGGCGCTCGAAGCAAGCGGAGCCATTGCCATAAAAACCTGCAGAGATAATTAATGATTAAAATGGGTAAGTCCAGAAATAGTTTGTTGTAAATAAAGGGGTGAAGAAAAGGGAAAGCCAGTAATAATGTATAAATAAACCATTTTCGAATTATTTTTGCTAAAGACTTTAATTACTTAAAGTAATTAACAGTAATTAATCAAGAAATTCAAAGTAATTAAAAGTAATTAGCAACTGAAAAAATTTAATATCGACATTACATCAATTACAGTTAGTAATAAAGATCGGTTTTTACCATTTAAGGCCTACATTTTTTGGTAAGCAGTCAAGGGAAGACTTATAAAAAAAGTAATTAATAGTAATTACGTAAAATATTTTCAAAAAACTCGTTGTCTCCCAAATAATTGAAGTAATTTCCTAAGTTTGAATTTTTGCCTCTCTCTAGGAATTCATTTCAATATATAGTAGTAGTTGGCATTGATTTTGCATTTCGCATTCCATAAAGCCTTCGACACATATCGCATCCGATTTCAATTCCTAACTAAATTCGTAGTCGTACATATTTTTGGTGAAAAATACACACGAAATATAAACGAGATGCGGCCCGTACAAAGTATGCTAGCGAAGGTGTCGCGCATTAGAAATCTGACCGAGCTGGGCCAGCCGGCTGCCTCGCTGCTGCGGGGCAAGACGGCGCTGTGGTCGCTGCGCCAGCAGCAGCGCCGCCAGCTGCAGAAGGTGGAGCAATATCGGCGGAAGGCAACCACGCTGCAGTCCATGCGGGAGTTCTTTATGCATCCATTGACCTGGGATCGCAACAATGGCTATTTGAACGTGGTGCTGGCCTTGGCGATCTTCACCTTCGTGTTCGTCAATTCGTGCACGCCCTGCCCCGAGGATCGTGTGCCGCAGCGCAGCAAGAAGACCGAAGAGTAGAAGCTCACCTGGATTGCAGACGCAGACCAGACCCGAGTTCGTCGAATGGCACTTGGCGTTCATATCGCACATGGTGGGATTGCTGAGGCAGTTCTGCTCCTCGATGCAGACGTAGCCGTCGCCGCGATAGCCGGCATTGCACTGGCACGTATAGTTGGCGGGATCCCTGAATGGAGAGCAATAGAAATATTTAAAATCAATGCAGAGCTCTTTCATCCCATTATCTCTTGGTCAACTCACTCGGTGGGCTCGCAGGTGGCGTGTATGCCGCAATTGTTGCGCACATTACAGGGTATGGGTATGCTCACACAGCCGGTCAGTGCGTCGCCCTGGTAGCCATCGATGCAGTCGCAGTACTGAACACTCAGTGCCGTATCCCACTTGCAAATGGCATTGGATCCGCAATAGACTGAGCCGCAGCGTCCCGCGGGCACACAGCGATCGCTCACGTCCCGCTCGTAGCCGGCGTTGCACTGACAGACACCGCCGTCGCAGTAGGCGTTCTCGCCGCACTGCTCTGCCGCCTGGCACTCGGGGGCCAGCTGGCAGTTGTGGCCGTCGCCCTGGTAGCCACGCTGGCAGACGCACTCCGACTTGCCCAGCTGCTCGTTGTAGTCGCAGTGGGCGTGGACATCACAGATGCCCGGTCTCTGCATGAATCGAAAGGGGAGGGATTAGGATATGGGAGCAGCTCGCTTGGGTTCACTCACAATCGCGCAGGAGTCCTCGATGGGATCGCAGTTGTAGCCATCGCCGCTGAAGCCGGCATTGCAGGTGCAGATGTGACGCAGCTGCTGCTCCCACCAGACGCAGCGGGCATTCACATGGCAGTTGGAGTCCACGTCGCACGGCAGCAGATCCTCGCTATTGTCCACCTCATAGCCGCCGGTGAAGCGGCAGCTGCGGCGCTCCTCGCTCAGCTCGTAGCCCTCCGGGCAGGTGCAGTCGCCTAGAATATTGCAGCGCGGCTCCACCTCATGATCGTCCAGCAGTAGGGGCACACAGCGTCCGTGCTCGAACACCTCGTCATGGCCGCAGATGTACGCACAGCTATAGCCATCGCCCGAGAAGCCTTCACGGCAGCTGCAACGTCCTTCGTAGCAGTCCGCATCCGGCGAACAGCTCTGCAAGCCAAATACAAACAACAACAACAACAATAATAACAACAACCACAACAACTACAAATCATTTTCCCATTTGAATATTGTTAACCGAACTCGAACGAAACAAAGAACGATTTTACTTATCCTTTAAAAACTTGCTGCCTGCCCCGCGGGTTGGGCTTCTGTTAGAGATGAACGAATTCGATGCTTTGTGAATGACACGGCAGGATAATTGGATGCACCAAAAACTAAACCACTAAATCTATTTGTAAACTGACAATATTTAGGCATAGTTTCAATAATTTTGAGAATTTTCTAAAGTTTCTATAAATCAATTTCCAGACAAACTAATTTTTAAGGAACATTTAATTTCAAGTTTTAGTTGAAACTACTTGAGATCATTTTTCTTTTCTTCTATTACTTTTTTTTTTTGAGATACTTTTCTTTTAAGATATTTTCTTTTTGAGATTCGTTTCTGTTAAGATACTAACCGCTTCTGCTTCCCTTCTTCTAAGATACTTTTTCTTTGAAGATTATATTCTTTTCGCATTCTTATCTTATGGGGGTATTTTTGAATGAATGTGAATACATTATGTATATATATATATCAATATAACATACACAAAGAAGACCTACTATTCCAATCACTTTACACACATACGCATACATACTTCTGATCTACATACATATATAGAAATAGAACTCATATCATATCAATTCAATTCAATTGCTCGCACTTACGTAGCACTCATCGGGATGTTGTCCATTGCCCTGATTGGGTTGATAGTCGACATGCTCGTCCGGCTGCTCTGGGCGTGGCTGCTGGTCCTGCTCCGTCGGATAGCCCTGCTGGCCGTCGACTGGCGATGGCGTGGGGTACTCAATATTTTCGGCCGTATTGTTGCGCAGACAGCGATAGCCGTTGCCCTCGTAGCCATCGTAGCAGACGCAGGTGAAGCCGCCCTCATTGTTGGAGCAGAGGGCGTTCTCGTCGCAGACATGGGTGCCCAGGGCGCACTCATCCACATCGATGCAGCTCTCGCCGCCGCGCTCGTCCACCTGGGCGGAGTAGCCGTGCTGGCAGTCGCAGCGATAGGTGTCCTCGTAGGGCACACAGATGGCATTCTCGCCGCACTGGACGCTGCCGTCGGTGCAGGCATTTGACTCGGCATCGACGCCAATCTTGGTCAGGGCGCTGGTGCGCAGGGCCTGGTCGCGCTCGAAGTAGTCGAGCGTGATCTTGGACACCTTCTGCAGGACACTGTGATCCGTGGGATCGACGTCGTCGTCGCGCAGGCAGCTCTGGTAGAGTATGCGCTGGTCCACCTGGAAGCCAATCACACGCTGCTCCTCGGCCAGCTCCAGCTGATGCGATTGCAGCGAGTGCAGCTCGCCGGGACGCACAAACCTGTACTCGTCTGTGTAGTCGGGCAGATGCAGTGCAGCGCCGGCTGGCACGCGTGGCACGGAGCCCGTCAGCTCGATCTTCACCGTCAGCTGATCCCAGTAGTTCAAGCCCTCGAACGTCTGATTCACCAGCAGCGTCTCGCCCGTCTCGTACTGAATGCGCGAGATGTGCTGGTAGCTGCCCCCGGTCAGCTGGTAGCCATTCGCCGCCCCATTGATCGACTTGGCGAACAGCCAGCCCACGGTGGTCAGCAGCGGCAGCACCACACGCAGCTGCGCCGCCTGCTCCCCGCTCACCGGATTGATGGTCGTGTAGATGCGCGCATCCGTGGTCACCACGTACGACTGCAGCTTGGCCTCCTCGCTCACCGCCTGCCCATTCAGCTGGCCGGACAGCGAGCCAGTCACGCGCATCGGCAGATCGTTGGCCAGGCACGACCGTCCATTGCCATAGTAGCCCGGCTCGCACACGCAGCAGTAGCCCTCGGACTTGTCGTAGCACTGGGCATGGCTGTCGCACTGATGCCCATTGCCGTTGCAGCTCTGAGCGAGGGCCGGCGACTCGGTGCGCGTCTCCACGTTGTTGGGCGCCACCACGTTCTCGCTGCCCATCAGGGGCGCCACCTGGTACAGCCAAACGCCAGCCACGCCCAAGTTGGTGCTGTCGCTGAGGAAACGAGCCTGTGGAGTGGCAGAACGTGAGATTAGTTTTCTCTCTTGATTAGCTTTGCTTTAAAATGGGAAAGAAGGGTTGAATAGTTAGGTATTTAAGTATAGAAGGAGGCGTGGCAGAGCCCATAAAGTATATATATTATTGGTTAAGTAGAGCTGAATCGATTCTTCGTTTGTCTGCCTATCCATCTGTCTGTCAAACTCAGAAGCTAGAAGGGCTCTTTCCTCTCATTCCTCATTTGCATGATAACACACTATCTACGACATTTATAGCTACTTCTTTTTGAATCCTATTGATTAAGTCACTTAATATCTATATCTTCTACATATCAAGCGTTAGAGTCTTTGTATTTAGCTTCAAGCGTAGTTTGACTTCTTTTATATTTTGGATACTGGCTCAAAAATTGATAAAATGCTTTAAATTGAAGGTTAGTGGCAAATATAGCAAATATGTGCATGTACTGGAAGTTCATCTAAATTGTCATATATTCCATAGAATATGTAGATTGCATGCTGAAGATTTTACTTAAATCTATTTACAAAGACAAAAGTTATTAAGGAAAACGTTTTGCTACTAAGCAAAAGCAGTTTAGCCACTTGGCTTCCCCAAACATGTGCTCGATTAGGAACTTCTTACTTATTCTTCATTCACTTACATTCTCCGATCCGGAACCATTCAGATTGTAGTAGCGTCCATCCTCGGCCACGAAGCCCGCCTGGGCGCGAATGTCGGGCAAGCCGTACTCTCCGGCCTCGCCCTGCAGCCAGTTGAGTCCGCCCTGCGGGTAGATGAACTGCACAAAGGTCTGCGAGTCGCCGACTATCAGTACCACCTGAAAGGTGTTCAGTCTGTCCGTCTTCGAGTTGAAGTAGCCCACATTGCGCCACGTGCCGACAATCAGCTGGCGTGCCTCGAACTCCGTCCAATCGCTGTAGGCATAGCGCACCAGCTGCTGAGCGCGATTCAGCTGCTGAGGATCCTTCGACTCGAAGAGCGAAATGGAGCTGTCGTCGTTGCTGTTGCTCGTGTCGACGTTCGAGTAGAAGGCCGCTACCGAGGGATACTCGAGTGGGAAGGGCTGATTCAAGTACTCCGTGAACTCCACGTTGAATGTCAAAATGCCATTCGTGTTGATCTGCAATGGAGATGTGAATGGGATGCGCTTAGTTGAAGTGCCTCTTAGGTGTGGGTAAGTGTGAGGGGTTGGGGTGAGTGTAAGGGCATGGATAGTGTATGTAAGTGCATATGGTCTATCAATTAGCTGCTTTGTGAAGTGCCAACAGGGCACTTAACATTTAACGGCCACTGCGCCTGCCGGAAACTAAACAAAAACAAATCATTAGCAAACGCGCCTCAATGATCATTAGAGAAGAGAGAGAGAGAGAGAGCAACTCCCCCTCCCTCTTCACTTTCTCTAATGAGTTTTCTAAATTAGTGCTAGATAAATAGACGCAGCCAACAGCCAACACTATCCAGCTGCGTGACCTGCTCCTGTTTACACAGCGCCACGCACTCCAATTGGAATGCCAAATTCAATTGCTCCACATTTTTTACACTCTTCAACTTCAATTGCACAACTTTGCGCATTTTTCTTGCATCCATTTTGCCTAAATAAACAAATATATAGACATATAGACATATAGACATATAGACATATAGACATATAGACATATAGACATATACATATATACATATATATATTTTTCTTTTCTTCTCGATCTTTTGATATTTTCGGAACTGGAGCACATGTGTGTGCCCAAAAAGAAGAAAGAAAGATAGATATTGTATTCTGTGGCACAAAACGATTTTCTAACAAATTAGCACCCAGACTTGCCGCACTTCATCTTCTCCATCTCAGCGGGCTACAAAAATGTGTGTGGAAATATTTGCCAAAGCCACTTGAGACTCGAAAGACTGCAGTAGAATTTACCAAGGTTTTTGTAAACAGCTAATTCATTTTGATTTATTGGTTAATGATTTATTTTGTTTACTTAAAGAAATTTGTATTTTGACTATCAATAAAATTTTTGTTGTTTATAGCCTAAAAATATTTTAAAAATTTATTACTAAATTTTCATTTAGCCTTAATGGTTAATCTATTTAGCAGCTAGCCTTGTGGTACTTAAAAATTATCTTATTTTGTATTGTTCTGTGTTTGTTTTACCGACAGCACAGTAAATATTGTAAAACAATCAATACTAAAATAATATTAATTAATTAATTACATATTTTTTATATTTTCTTGCATATTCCTAATTTTATACAAAAATTCTTTATATTTTCTATCAAAATTATGAGTCGCATTCAACTGAATTTTTATAAATTCCAAAATAAATCCAGCCTCAATTTTCCCATTTGATCTTCTATTTTTAGCTACGCCGAAGGGGTTTAATAACAATTAAATTGAATAATGTGATTTGGCTGGAGGAGAAGAGGCTTTTGGTTATTTCTGGTCAAAGGAATTCTCGAATATTTATGCATTTCTATGGCCATAATGTTAATGCCACACACACACACTCACATACATACACAACACACAATTCTGTGCCGCGTGCTATTTTTCGACGTCAGACACATAAATTCAGTTAATTAACTAACAAAAATAGGCGACACTTTCGACTCGACGCGCCGCTAAGAGCACATCATAATTTTTAGACACTCAACAAGAAAAACAATCTTTAAGAGCAAGAGATCTGAGGTGGAATAGACGAGATAGAGGTATGAAAAATGTAATACTCTTACATGGCTAATATATATAAAAAATATATAAATATTTAAATGATGCTCAGTTTCTAGTTGCTGATTATAATGATGATTGCTTCTAATCAGATTATTTTTAAATATTAAGGGAAAGTACAGCAAACGGAACTGTTTTAAATAAATACTATAATTGCTTTTTGATGGAGGGATTTCCATTTACACCTATTACGATTTTTGTTTCAATATCAAATAAGGAAGAAATAGTTTGAAAAAATGTAGTATTGATTATTAAAGAAAACTTGACAAAAAATAGGTTCAAGTTATGCAAAGGATGGGAGAGGGGGAGAGAGAGAGAGAGAGCGGGAGACGATAAAGAGGCACACACATTGAAAGCAGGAAAGTAAAGGATTGTAAAGTAAAGGCAACTATGTCGAAAACTATCCATATAATAATATTTATTTATTTATTTTATTTTTATTGTTTTTGTAGATAAAGTAAATCTAGGTTTTTTAGAAGGATTACAATACCTATTTATATATAATATTCCCCTAGCTGATAGTTTTGCTTATCA